TGGGAGTTGAAGTCCACTCATCTTAAAGTGGCCAAGTTTGGACAACACTGCCTTAGATAGATTTTCACCATGGTGATCCATCCCTAACCTGTACAATCATTCAGACCTTTAATAGCTGTCTATCTTCACCTTTCTCCCAGCTAAGAGATGGAACTTCCAATTCAGGTGGAAGTGAGGCATGCACCCAAAACTCACGTTGTATATTTTTGCTATTAAACTAACTTCCATGAGGGCAAGTAACTGTGGATGGTAGCTTTGCCCAACCTGGTGCCCTCCAGAGGTATTGAGACTACAACTCCCAGAATTCCCCAAACAGGAGTGAGAATCTGAGTCTGAAACTACATGAAGAGGACCAAGGGGGTGCAGACTCTCCTGCCTGAATCTTTTGTAATTTTTACTGCTGACTAAAACAGCTTGCTGATAGTGGACTAATTATGAAGGATTCTTAGAGTTGATAACTCCCAAAGAGCAGTATTCCCTAAGCTGTTTCCCACCAGATGTTTGGGGATTGCAGCCTCCATCGTTCCCATCTGAATGTGGCCCACAGATCTGGAGAGCAGGAAGTCAGGAAAAGCTCTATACGGTCTGCCCTTTGGGAGTATTAAATGGACCCCACCTTGTTTCTGTCTTGCAGTATACAGTCTGGAATTTTCTTCCCAAGAACCTCTTTGAGCAGTTCCGAAGAATTGCCAATTTCTACTTCCTTATCATCTTCCTTGTCCAGGTAAGACCACTTTAAAGGAGGGAGCATCAACAGATGTGATGTGCTTTGGGTTGTTTATTAAAAACAAAACAAAAAATCAGTGGCTTTAAAAAGAAAACTGCACAGGGAATGAATAGACATTGGTAGTTATAAATAGGTTTTTTTCAAAACAGGAGCTACTGCAATTGTCCACCCTACTAAAGGCCCTCTTTTGACTTAAAACGTTCTTTCACCATCCAGATGGGCCTAGCTTAAAGCAGAAGAATGGTCCCATATGTGCTGGTTGAGAAATGGCCCACCCAACCACACACTTGTGTGTTTGCTTCCACTCCTAATTCATTCTCCAGGGCTTTGGGTTTTTTGTTTTTTATTTTTGCAGAAATTCTTTGCTCAGCTCTCCTCGGTAACTAAAACAAGAGCTGTGTCTTCTCACCTTCCCGTTCCTACCCATTGCCGGAGCAGTGAGTTTTCAGCTCCTTAGAAAGGACCTCCAGCCCATCCGTTGTATTGAAGCTAATTTTGCACTGTATCTGCAATCCAGTTTATATCTGACATTTTAGTTCATTACTAAAGATGAATCAGCATGACTTTGTCCTTCTACCCGAGTTTGTTTTCCTATATATATAATTTTATTAAAAGATTTTTAAAAAGGAAGATAAAAACGAATGCAAACTAATATAAAATAAGAAAAAGAAATCAAAGCGAAAGCTGAAAGTGCAAGAAAGGGGAGAAAAAGCAAAAGAAAAATAGAAAAAGAAAAAAGATACAAAGAAATAGCTCCCAGTCTTCTTTACAGCAGTTATAAGTACGATTATAAATTTACCTCTTACCCTATGGTTACAACATAACTCTGTTCTTTCTATAATCTAATCATCAAAACCATAAATCATAAGTTCTTTTTTTCTTACGCAAAAAATCCATAAGGGATTTCCAGTCAACCATAAACGTAGATATTGTCTTTTCTCTGATCAAAGAGGTCAATTTAGCCATCTCTGCAAGTTCCATCATCTTCACCAACCATTCCTCCGTGGTGGGTAGCGCCAAATCTTTCCATCTTTGTGTGTACAATAATCTCGCTAGTTATCATCTACGAAAACAAAGTTCCATGACTTTTTTCCAACTGTTTGTCCATCAGTCGGTCCTTTCTACCTAAGTTTGGAAATCCCTCATTTTTCCTAAACAGAGTGAGGAGATACACAGTACACCGTGGGGACTGAACACCCTCTTTCCTGAGAGGTGGAATATTAAGTCTTCCTGGAAAATAACTCCTGTTAATGAAACTGATGATGTCAGAATTATTCTGTTTCCGTTCAGATGATTTGTCCTGGGTTCTGGGTACAGATTCTGAAAATGCCTTACTGCACCCCAAAGGAATAGAGTGCAGCTGTGTCTTAATATGTTGTATTCTGGCTTGCTGTGGTGTCAGCTGACATCTCCTCCATGCCTGGAGGCTTTGAAAGTGAAACTGGGTGAAAGGAACCTTTGTGTAATTTGAGGTAAATCAAAATTTCCCCTGGTGATGGGTGTGGATTTTTCATGGTCTCAGTTACAGGTGATTAGCATAGAATTAATTAATGGGTTGCAGAAAACCATGCCAGGAGAGAGATGTTGCCATGTTTGGACATCTAAATGATTTGACTGGGATCCTCTGGAGAAATTGTTTTGGGACTGACCAGCTTCTTAGAGCAAATCATTAGGAAATGGGGGTGTTACAAAGACAACGTTTGGGGCCAGAAAGGATATTTTTATTCCAGATGTTCTGGAATAGATGCTTCCAAAGATGCCTTCAAGTAGCTGATTCTTCAGCAAAATCACTTCGGAAGACCATGACAAATTCTTGATGGTCTTTATCAAGGAAATGAGAATACACTAACATGCTTGGGAAAGATCTTTTGACTTTTGAGCACCTCTTCCCTAGTTTGAGAAATGCTTCTGTAAATTGGCGCCCAAGATCTAATCGAGGAATAGCCATGTCCTTTAAAATCGTTAATCATGTAGCTTTTCTGCATCTCTGTTTAGGTGATCGTAGACACACCAACCAGCCCAGTGACAAGCGGACTTCCTCTCTTCTTTGTGATTACTATTACAGCTGTTAAACAGGTATGTCTTGCTTTTTATTCCAGTGAACAAAAGAAGAGGATTGTTTCTATCCACCTTCCCAGATGTTCTAGGCTTGTCTCATTACAGCTGTGGGCTCTTGTAGCTAGGGAGAATGGGGTTGCATCTGGAAGGCCTCCTATTGGAGTCTGTTTCTCCCATCCCTTCCATTCTTTGATTGAGTTTTTCCAGTTTTCTGGTTTCTTTCATTCCTTCCCTTGTTTCTTCAGGGATATGAGGATTGGCTGCGGCACAGAGCAGACAAGGAAGTCAACAAAAGCATATACTTTGTGATTGAAAATGCAGCAAGTGTGAAGAAGGAGTGTGAAAAGATCAAGGTAACAGGAGACGATTCTCCTCTGTTCTGAAGAATAATAGGAAGCGTTGATAAGCCCAGGATGTAACCTGCATACAAACACAGAGGCTGGGTTGCAAGGAAGAATCTCTTTGACATGCCTTGGACTGGATGTTTTGTAGGAAACATTTTTCCCTCTTGCGTTCAGTTTACTCCTCAGCCTTCCAGGGCTAGTTCTGGAGGAGAGGCTACCAGCCATTTTAAGCAAGCTAGGAATTGTGGTGGGCTTATTAAAAGGGCAGCCTAATTTTGATTTTTACTTTCTGTTCTTCTTGTTTATATTAAAATCAGGCAAGCTGTGGTTGGACATGAGTTCTCTGGGCTTGAAAAGGGAGCAAACACCTGTTTGATTTTGATGCTGTAGTCTGTCATATTCTCTCCAAATACAGAATGAGCAAGAAGGTTGGAGCCTGAGGGGTGGGGGAGAAGGAGGAATTATTTTGGTCATGGTGTGAAGTGAGTTAAAAGAAAATCGCCCCTCAGAAGGCAGGGAAGACTTTTGGATGTCAGTTCTCTGCCCATCAGCCAAATTAATCTCTAGATGTTTCAAGGTAGACCTTCCTAATGTTGGGGATTTCAATCCCATGGAATAAGGACCCCTCAGGACTCACTTTCAGAGTCCTGCAACTTTTCCTGGGCTGAGGGTCCCACTGGGCCTTTGAGTAGGTATCCTCTCCCAAATAGCAGAACACAAACATGACATTTGATGTTTCCTCATGTATAAAATAGCCGTAACTACACTTAAAATAATGTAAATGCAGTTGATGAGATTCTTCAACATCTGCTTAATCCTTTCTCCTTTCCGTCACACCAAAAATGTTAGTTGGATGGCCACTTCTGCTAGGACGAAGGGCTTCACGTTTTGCAACTCTGCTCTAACCTCTGGGACTTGGAACAAAGCAATGTGGTCATTATCAAGGGTGTGTAACACTGTTGGGCGATAGACATAGAGTGTGTGCACGTCTCTGCATGTTTTTGCAAAAATTACAACTCCCTGTTTTGATTTTGAGGTTGGTGACATAGTAGAAGTGTCAGCAGATGAAACCTTTCCTTGTGATCTAGTTTTACTGGCCTCAAGTAGCAAAGAAGGCTCCTGTTACGTCACTACTGCCAGTCTAGATGGAGAGTCAAATTTCAAGGTAAGAGGACAAGTTTTCTGCAGTTTTCTTGGCAACATTTTCAGAAGTGGTTGGTCCTGGCCACCTCCTTCCTAGGGCTGAGAGGGAGGGACTGGCCCAAGGTCACCCAGCTGGCTTCGTGCCTAAAGCAGGGCCAGAATTTACCGTCTCCTGGTTTCTAGCTTGGTATCTTCACCACTACACCAAACTGGTCTCCCACCCTTTTCACATACAATTAAATATTCTGTCCAGAGTGAACACCTGAGCAAGCTTCTCTTATGCTGATTTCCAATGAAACCGCTTCCTGTGGTGTCTTAGAAAATGAAATACATCAGAATGTGTAGTTTGGGAGGATTGTGTATAAAATGCTAAAAGAGCTTTTTTTAAAAAAAATAGGTCTTTCCAGCACGAGTGTAATTTTAGCTAGGTAGGACCTTTGAACTCAACCCTAGGTTTCAAAAGATGTTTCTTTTCTCAAAATGCTATTCATCATTTCCCACTGTTCGTGCAAGAGAAATGTGTCGCATTCAACCGGAAAGGAGGAAAATTTCAAAATAATGGGCTTGGGAAACCTTGGAGAGAGTTTTGTTTATGAAGATGGATTACTGTCATGGATCTTGATGACAGAAGTGATTTATAACTTCTGAGCAGTTTCTGGAAATAGAAGCTGCTTCATTCATACACACACACACACACGAGTAACTTTTTAATTCTTTGTTAGCTTCTTAATGAAGTTTCCTGATATCTGCAGAGTGTGAAACATTATTCTTTTCCAACATTACTCTGAAATCTCAGTCATGACAATCCCAACCATCTCAGCTTAAGGTTACTGAGCACTTTTAAAAATCTGAGATGCCTCTTGTAATCCCTTAGCGAAGCAGTTCTATTATGTTGACTTGAGACTCTTCCCTGAATTTAGTTGGACCCTCCGATATAGGGTTAGAATGAGGGATTGTACAAGCATCTGGTTTAGCTTAGAGAGCTCTCCCTAAAAGGTTGAGGCAAGCTTTCGGTGGGGATGGTGGAGACATTTAGCATTTTATCAATATGGAGAGTTTTGCAAAATGGTTGCCACAGAAAAGCTTGTTTTGTCATAAAATGGCTGTTATGGTATGGGTGGAGTCGGTTGCCAAATAGTCATGTTCTAGAAGATAAAGGGGGAGGTTGCCCCGATATACCTGATATCAGCCTTGTGAGGTAGTCAGACAGGAAGCATGCCCAGATGAACTAACTCCGTCTTTACTGTAAGGTTACATTAAGAGAATCTTGCAAGTCTGAAAGTACATCTCTTCCCCATCACCTTTACAGCCCAAGAAACTAGGGAGGGTCCCTTCTGAGACATTTGCCATGC